ACACTAAGTCACTAATCCCGACAAATGTTCACCAAATTAGCAAAGTTTCTTACTATTTCGTCCAATAGTTCCAAACAACTGTAGTAAACTCAGAAGCATTGTGTACGTAAAATTACTATAGTCGTTTGTAAATGCAGAAAGAAAGAGTGAAAGAAAAAATACGGATTTTTGTCGCCGGTTTCCCGTCAATTCTTGACTAATGGAGGTAAACTGGAAGGATTTTTACATACACAGACACACACACACACTTATATATTTGTTGGATAAATATTTGAAGACACACACATGTTTATTTCACTTATATTCATAGACGCGGTTAATTAATACACTAATACACAACTGCACACACGACAACGAATTTCACTGAAAGCATACATCTTTGTTTCCTTATATATTGAATGATAAAAATTTACAGCACTTACGAGAAAGCAGTTTACTTTTAACAACTTATTATAAGACATAGTCCTTGGGACAGGAATAAATGCAAAATTTATTAATTTATAATGGTCAATTTCCGAGATAACGAACGACCTACGTTTCACTTTATATTTAATTATTGTAGATAATATCCAAATTTATTTTACATACGCGAAACATAGTCACTGTCAATGATCGGATGGCATCGGCTCATTTACGGAGATTGACGAAGTTAGCAACCAATAGAAATGCAGGCGCCATATGACTGCACTCGCTAGCCACACTTGCTCACCAAAAATTACTACAGTGGATCGTAGGTTTTAGTGGAAAATGTTTTCATTTGTCAGATTTTGTCTAATTAAATTAGAGAAAACTATAATCAATTTTTGCTACATTTACAACTCTTACACAAAATATTAAAACTTGCTATTTCAATGTAGCAAATTTATCTATTTCTTTTGTAAATTTATCTAATTCTGTAGCACATTATGCTAAAAGTCTCCTTATTTCCGGTCATTGCAACCATTTTTAGTAATTTTTACGAATGTGGGTCTCTCCGTGTAATACAAAACCGTCAATTTTTTCTATTACTGTCAATAATTTCTTTTTATATAAGGTGGATATCACGTCAAAACTCCACCCAAAAAAAAATGTTGTACAATTATTCCCAAATTTTTTTTATGATATGCCCTATAGGTTAGTAATTTATCATATAAATTTTTTTGAATTTTATAAAAAATTGTCCAAGGGGAAGGGGGTAGAAGTTCTGAACTTTTGCGTGACGCGCTCCACTTTGATTATTTCTTATAATTAGAGGAAAAAATTTAAAAAAAAATTAGAATATGGGTTTTTTAGATTTTTTCATGGGCTTTCGAATGGCAAAGTCTATTTTCAAAAATTTTTTTATTTTGACATAAATTTTGAAAAAATAAAAATAAATTTTCACTTTTCGCATCTTTGGGTTCATTTTTTCTTTTTTCTTTTATTTTTAAATGAAAGCTGAGCTTTTTTCTGATAAAATACTTGTTTTCCAAAAAACCGTTTTTTTTGTTTTCGAGAAATGAATTTTTGAATATAGCGCGCGCTATCAAAAAAATCAGCGTCTATTTCGGCATGTAAATCAGTAGAGATTTAAACGTGTATTTACACGTTTAATTTTTGGACACATTCTACGTAGATATAAACGTTCAAATCCTCAACGATTTGAAAATTTAAAAAAATGTTTAATTTTATTATTTCTGTGTATCAAATAAATCCTGTTTCAAATTATAAAGTGAAATGGAAATATTTTACATTTTGTCGTACAAGTCAACAAGGATTCATGTACCAGATTTCTCCAATTTTGTTTATTTCTTTACATGTGTGTCCGAGGATTTTGTTCTCTCAATTATATTTCCATCATACAACTTTAGAATGTTTTTCAAATTTTATCAACGTATATATGCATATATCATCGAGGATCTTGGAAACAAGAAGTGTTATATTTTCTTACTTCTCCTTGTAGGATTTCGATGATTTTTAATGTTATATTACTACGCGAAAATCATTAAGGACTTTTATCTTTATACGTTTCTCTAATTTTTAGTTTTCTTAATTTAAATCGTCTGCAATTTTGAACTCAGCAGTTTTTTCAGTTTCAACACATGTATAAATCATCGAGGATCTTAAAAACAAAAAATGTTTCATTTTGTTATTAACGTACATATGTCGATGAGGATGTAAATATATAAAATATAGAAAATACAAATAAAAAAAATTTATGTATTTATATATTTGTTTCTCAATTTGTGTTACTACTGGTAAATCACTAAGGATTTTTAAGTTTGTTATTTTTTCTAATTTTCTGTTTTCTGTATATTAAAATCGACAACGATTTTGAACTCTATAATTTTTTTCTTCTTTCTACATTTATATGTAAATAAATTATCAAGGATCTCGAAAACAGAAATTTTGTTCACTAAAAATTTATTTCTAAATTTTACATTACTGCTCGCGAATTTTTGAAGACTTTCACTCTTTTAATGTTGTCTATTTTTTGAATTTTTAATTACCTCGTCCCTTATAACCCTCTTTTCCAACACTGCTGAAGTTTTACTTTCTATAGAGTTACTCTCTATGGAGTCTCCAGTGTTCTGCGCGTAAATTATTGGAAATTTTTAAAAATATCTTTATCTAACTTTCAGATTTCTGTATTTAAATAGACAACAATTTTGAAGTCTAGGATTTCGTTTCAAAATTTTATATAACTACAAGTGAATTCTTGAATAAATCTAAATCTTAGCATTTATGTGTATAAGTCATCGAGGATTTTTTCTACGAGGAATGTCTCACTTCCTCAAGAACTAAAGTATTTTTATATCTGTTTCTTATTACTACGTGTGAATCATTGATGATTTTTAGTAATATTTTTTTCTAATTTCTAATTTTCTAAATGTTTTATTTTCTTAATTTTGCGTATATTATCTCGTCGAAGATTTTGAACTCTATGATTTAGTTTTGAAATTTTATATTACTACACGATAATACTTAATACGTTCAATGTTTAAATTTTTTTATTTTGCAAGTTTTCTAAATTTAAATTGGCAACAATGATAGATTTCAAAATTTAATTTATGTGTATAAATAATGGAGGATTTTGAAAACAAATAATGTCTTATTTTCTTACATCCCCCAAATGTTTTTGAGGATTTTTAATTCTATTTTGTTTTTGAATTTTATATCACTAAGCGCAAATCATTAAAAATATCCAACTTTATTATTTTTCTAACTTTCAGTTTTCTGAATTTAAATCGGCTATGCATAAACCATAGGGTATCTTAAAAATAAAAAATGTTTCATTTTCTTATTAACGAGTATAAGCTTATTGCTAAGTTATTCCCAATAGTTTTTACTTTTCTTGTTAACAATAAAGTGTAAATGTTACATTTTGTTATGCAATAATCGAATAAATATTAAAAGAATATCAAGGCTTCCATTTCCGGTACCGGTTTAGTATACATGCGTGAAGAAAAAGTTGAGAGCTTTTTGAATAAATTTTAAGGTTTAAAAAATGGTGGGTAGTGTAGAGTGTTGAGTGTGCAGTGGAGTTTACAGTAGTGCAAAGGAAAGATATGTTTGTATAGAGTAGTGAATATGTGAGTGATAAAAAAGGTAAAAAAGATAAGTTGGTATTGTGAGGTTAGGTTGCTTGAAGTGAGAGAGTGGAGAGAGATAGTGATAAAGTACACTGAGAGAAATTTTTTCATAAAATAGTATCAACTGTAGCTATACTTTTTTTACATCTATGTCATACGCCATTGGTGAAAACAACATACTCATTTCGCAAAGATAATGCTCTTTTGGTAGGATTACTGAGCGAATTCAGTTTGTTTTCATAACAAAATCTCACGACAGAGGGCATACGAAGTGCGTTGAATATTTCAATACTATTTTATGCAGAAATTTCTCTCAGTATAGATTTCTAGAATGGCTGAGTCTGGCTCAAGTAGTGCATGCGAGAGTGAGAAAAAGGCGCGAGTATTTGAAAGAGGAATAGGTGAGAATGGAAAAAGAATGACGTGTGAGGATTGCATGGATTTGTTAGAATTAGTATTAATGTTGAAGGATGCGATAAAGGAAGGTTCTAAGAGAGTGAAAGGAAATTTAATGAATATTTGTGAAGATGGGGAACAAAGAGACAGAGAGTTAGAGGAAATTGAAGAGAGATTGGAGAAATTACAAGAAATGTAAAATGAATGGGATATTAAGTGGAAAAAGGAAAAGGATAGCATGTGGGGAAGAATGGCGAGTGGATGTAGTGGAAAAGGATAAAAGGAAAAAGAATGTTGTAGTCAGGGGTATGAATGTAGGTGTGTTAGAGGGTAAAAAAGAGGTGGAAAAAGTGTTTGCGTGGATGGGGGTAAGTGTCAGGGTTAAAACTATGGAGTTGGGTAGTGAGGAAGAAAAAATGGATGTGATGAGGGTAAAAGGGAGATTGAAAGGAAGTGTTGTAAGAATAGATGAGGAAAGAACCTGGAGAGAAGGAAGGATTATGTGGCTACTGAAAGAAAGAGCGTGGTCTGAGAAAGTGAATGGAAAAGTGGTAAGAATGAGTAAAGATTGTATTTGGGTGGATGGTCTAAAGTTTGTTGAAAAAGATGGATGGTTGAAAAAGATGTGAAACTAAAGTGGAAATAGGGGTTAAAGTAAAAATAAAAAGGGGTGGGCGAAGTAAGACGAAGATAGAATGGGCAAAAAAGGAACTGGAAACGGAAGCCCGGCACTGGCGAACTGAGAGATTGAGAGAGATGCGAGTAGGTTATGTTGAGAACAGCGGTTAAGTTGCATTAGGTTAAGTTGTAAGAGTATAATTTTAGTTGTAAGAATTTTTGTATTTATAGAATAAGTTGATGTATGTACTTGGGAGTAAATAAACTATAATAATCAGAAAAAAATCTTATGTTCCATTCATTTTCTAGAGACTACATACTTTAGTCCCATTTTCCCTTAGTATTGTCTATTGAAATTTTCAAAAAATTTTCTATATATATAAAATTATTAGTCTGTATTGAATAATTCAAAAACAAGGTATTAGTTTTGACAAAAATATTTAATAACAATTTTATGTTTTGAGAAAAGATTTTCTTCATACAAAGGTTAACATATTGCATTTAAAATATGAATGGAAACAACTAGTCCATCATAACAATTTTGTATATCAGTTTAAATTATATTGAAGTACTTGCATTTATAAAGAATTAAAACTATAGCTGTTCAAATACATTTTTAAATTTCTTCTCATACTAACTATATTTGTTCTTCTTATTTATCCGACAAACCAATATTTGAGCTTAAATTGTCACAATATTTCTCGACAATTTTAAGGTGGCAACCTTAGTTGTAATTTTCAAAAAATCGTTTTTTATTTTTGTGTCATTTTTTTAAGTTTAATGTTTCTAATATATTTAATCGTTATTTTTTATTTTGAACTCAATTCAGGCAATGGTCCACAATTCCCCAACATTCTTAAAAATAATAAAAATGCATTTTTAGGTAAATCTGAAATTTTTTTTAGGTAAGTGATAATTTTAAGAAACTGACTATGAATTAATTGTCTAAGATATCACGGAGTGAAATTTATAGTAGTGGGTAACATAATTGTGGTTAGGGTGACCATCTTTAATGCTACAAATACGGACAGCTATCTAGATAGTAACCGTTACTATCAATATCATGCGGAGTAACATCTTGATAGTATGGGGTAGCATTACTATATTTTTTGTAACTTGGTAGGCAGTAGCATAATGTTAAATATATATATATAGGTACATTTAACATTGCCAGGTAATATTGGTACAATATTGAGCTCAAATGTTGTGCTACTCAGGTGTATTAATTACAATCATTTTAATATCTATTAGATAAAAATTGTGTAAAAACGCATAACAATTTGTATTGCTTTATTTAATTAAATAGTTTTTGTTTTATATATAAAACAGTAAATTGAACTGAACTTTAATAGTAATAATAGAAAAAAATAGATGAAGAAAAAAGAAATTGAAATGAATTTATGAAAATTAATTACTCTAAATAACTTAATAAAATGAAATTGAACGGACTAAACTATAAAACTTTCAACTCGGAATTTAATCTTCCTCTTCTGAATCTGGCTCTTGAGTATGCTTCTTATTGTCTGAAATTTATTTAAATTATATTGAGTGCTTTTTCTTTGGCTAAAGTTTTAATTATTTGAAACATCTAATTGATTTAGTATAGTAATCTAAATTATTCTATTCCACAATGATATCAAAAAATTATTGATTTTGATGTAAATACAATGAGAAATGAATTTAATAAATTTTGAGTTTGATAATAAAAATAAATATTTTATCCTAAAGTCAAAAATGTGTCTTAGCTTATATTTAAAAATTTTATATTTATTGTTTTGTAAATAAATCTTAAACAATCTTTAAAAAATATTCAAAATCGGGGCCATAGTAATAAGATCTTTGAAGCCCCTTCCAAAAAAGAATACTTTTGCGGGAGCCACGATATCTTCTGACTGCTTCATCAGGGTTGGGTACGTAATATACCTCGGGCAAATTACATGAGTATTTTTCGTATATTACATGTGTAAATTACCTCAAAAATTTCAAACACAATACATTTTTTATGGTAGGGGTAAAATACGTATTTTACATATAATACCCATGTAAAATACGTCAAAAACCTCTAGACACGCGTCACTACAGAACCCTGTGCTTCATTGAAAATTTGAAAAATAAAATATTTTCTGTTAATAGATGTAGTAGGTATAGTTATATAGTTATCGAAGGAAGACATTTTTTGTTTATTTATTAGAACCAATTTTACATGGTTTAAATGGTCTTAAAAACAGTAATTTCTACTAAAAAAATTCACCGAACATTCAATTTTTAATTTTTTCATGAACCCTTCGCTCAATTACGAGCTATTCTCACCAGCAGTAAATATTTTTCATTTTGATTTTTGATGAAGCAGTCAGTAGATACGTCACCACTAAAAAAATAACTTTTTTCTAAGGAACTCGGGAATCTCAAAAAAAAATCTATGACTCCGATATTTACTATTTTAAACGAAAATTTTATGTGTTACTTATTTTATATTAGTGTATTCCTACTTTGAGACATTTCAGGGTACAATTGACTTCTCAAACTGCCAATATGTTGGCTAATGTAGTATCCACATTTTTTCAGTCGAGTTCCTTTTTCCACTCCGTGAACCTTCCTTTCATCAAGGTAGTCATTAAAACAGGCTAAAATTAATTATCAATTTTAAAAAAATTTGTAAACCTAAAATATAAACATATAAATAATTTTTTAAGTTAATTTAATATTTCGCATTGTTTCAACTTGATGTTAAATTTAATTTTAGAAAGATAATACTTAAGGGGGTTAAGGTTTTTTTAGCAATTTTTAGGAATTTTTGTCGATACAGAGAGAGTTAATTTATTTTATCAATTTTGATATAAAACTGCAACATTTTAACAATATTTTCCAAAATTTGCATGACAAAATATTAAGAATTGAGAGACTGAATGAGAGTTTTCTCATTCAGTGCAATAAAAAAAAGTTGTCCTGTATACCAACGGAACTAAAATACTCATAACTCTGTCAATTTTGCTTCAATTAACTTGAAATTTTAACACGTTATTCTGGAGATATTATGCTTTCATTTAAAGAAAATTTTTTAAATGCAAAAAAAATTTCAATACCTTATCCCCCTGTTAATAAAAAAATTGTTCTCATACATGCATTACTTTTTTCTGTCATAATTAAGCATTTAGACACAAAATTCTATCGATAGATTTGCAACGGAGAAGCAAATTTGAGAGAAATGATAGTTTATTTTACGAGGGGGTGTTGATTTTTTACTTCGGTTGTGTGGAGGATTTGATATTGAATTAATAAAGATTTGTTAACGAAAATTTTGTGTAGTGATTATTATTGAAGGATCAACAAGTAGTTGCAGATTGGTGATTATTTTGACTTGGACAAAAGTCGTGTTTCGAAGGAACAAAGTTTCCCATTTGACTATTGTTTTTGTTAGTTTTTCAATATAAAATTAACTAGTGAAAATTTACACTTGTAATTACACCTGTAAATTTTTGCTTATTACATGTGCCGATTTGAACATGTATTACACATGTAAATATACGAGGAAAATTTTTTTACACGTGTAATAATTTTTTCTCATGTATTTACATGTGTAGTTACACGTGTAAAAACTTTTCCTCGTGTATTTTCATGTGTCCAAATCTGCATGTGTTTATTTTCAATAGGGTGGCGTTTCACTGCTACGTTGGTGCTAAACTTTGATTTGTGACGAATAAGGGAAAATGATAAATTAATCTTTGTAATAAATGAAAATATTTTTTCAATATATCATTTTCTTCTATTTGCCTAAACTGCGTTTGTCGAATAGCTAAATGCCTAGCCAGTTAGCTAATTGCCTAATCCTTCCAGGCGAATAGACGAATAACAGTAATAATGAAGCTCATTTGTCTATTCGGCGCCGTTTAGCTAATTGCCTAGGCATTTAGCTAAATGACGAATTCTTCTATTTGCTTACGACATGTACATTACAATTTACCAAACAGTAAAAAGACAGAATTATAATTATATGTGAGTATTAATATCAATATTTGTACGGCTAAAATAGCAGAGCCCCTTACAATAATAGGATATATATATATATATACTGTCCTCAGTATATATACAGGACATCCACAGGATATATCTAGGATATCTTTAAGATATACACAGAACATTCTAAGGATATTAATAAAAATGGGTCTAAAATGTCCTGATAATATTACTAGAACATAAAAAATTGCCATCTTAGAGATATCTCTTGGATCAATTAAAATTCGAATATTTTTAAAGCAGATATTTAAAAAAGAGGTTACATTTTACAGTCAATGCGTGAAAAAATATCAAATTTTTTTTAATTATATTTTGAATATATTTTAGATATCCTAGAGATATTTTATAAACTTATTTAATTTATAATTGATTTATAATTTTAATTTCTAGAAGTCTCTTTCTCAGTGGGCACAGGGATGTCTAAAAGACGTCCCTTTTTGTCCGCGGACAATATCGGGGACAATTATGGTAATGTCTCTGAGTCATCAAAAAGACAACTAAAAGACGTTCTATGTCTGTTTCAAAAGACGTCTAAAAGACATAAGAAAGAACGTCTAAAGTACGTCTTAAAGACGTCTTTTGGACGTCCTTTTTACATTCCTTCAGATCTTAAATAGACATTTCATTTATAACATTTTCTCAGTTAAAACACAGTAATATTGTATTAAAGGTCAAGGTGTTAGCTCTACAGTACAATAATTTCTTAGACAAATAATAATCCTCACCTTCTACAACACTTTTCTTTTTAGGAGTAAGAAGTTTTCTAGGCGACCTATCCGGCAATGGAATTAACCTTCCCGTATTTTTAATGCAACGATTTACAAGTACAGAACGGGTCCAAATAGCCGCTGCTAAGTACTTTACGAACTTTGAATCATCTAGAGTGTTAATTGCATCCCATGTGTCTTTTTTTATATATTCTTCTTTTCCTAAATAAACTTTCTCAACCTGACATAAAGAAACATCATTCTTACAATAATATTAATATAGGTCATCTCAAACAAAATTAAAAACCGCTGTCTATTTGTATTGTTGACATTATTATATTTATGTTAACTTCGTAAATATTTTGCTTCCTCGAAAAGAAAATTTAATAATATAATATGTTTAATAATATATAATACTTTAATATAAAAAAAGTTTTTAAGCAAAGAAGTACACAGAAACAACCTGAGTTCAAAATGGTCCACGTATAATACTCATTTTGATAAGCAACAAGAACAATCTCACAGTTTTAGCCAAATAGTTTTAAAATAAACCATATTGCAAAGAAAGAGATTTCAATTTAATAAGTTTATCTCCTGTATTTTTGAAAGTAAATAAAGTAACTTTTAGGTTCAAAAATCATGTCCATTGACGGATGATGGTGCCAATCGTCTAAAAGGTATGTCTAAAGAGTTACTACAAACATAATAAATAAAACATCTGTTATTTTATTGAAATCTAACCTTAATTGATATTTGATACAGAGCAGGTTCATTGTGAATAACTTGAAGTTTATTGTTAACTCATTTTTATACGGAACTCAAAACAATAAACAACAAAAATGAATTCTGGTTTTTTCTGTGTAGAAAAAAATATATTTTTTGCAATTTTTTGTTTTTCAAAAGTAAGTCTTCCCTCAATATTTTCCGACTTTAAAATACCAATAATTTAAAATAAATATAAATTAGATATGGGGCTTTTAAGGTATTTCTTTGAAAATACGTGTAAATACATATATACCTTTCTTCCACTTTTTTTAGTCTCAGTAACTATTGAATACTTTTTAATAGTTTCTTTTTCACTTTCACTCTCTTCAGAGTCTAGAATAAAATAACAGTCGGAATTTAGGCGCTTTCTTGTATTGTAATTACCAGAGTTGCAGTCAAAATAGATTAATGGTTTCTCTTTATTGATTATAAAAAATGACTAGAGTATAATTTATTAATTTAATTATGAATTTTTCATATTTAACGAAAATTGCAATTAAAATCATTGGTACAAATAATGTACAAAAAAGTTAAGAAAAAATTTTTTAAATCAAAGAAATTTTTCTTTAACCCTATAAAAATGCAAAAATTCCTTTGATTCATAGAAAATTTCTTTGAAATAAAGAAACTTATTTCTGGATGTACCATAAAATTACTGTTCCAAAACATTTTGTTATTGTGTAGGTATATATACTTATTTTTAGGCTAATTTAGTTATATGTGTTCCCAGTAAACGAAAACAAATTGAAATGAATTAAAAAGAATTCACAAAGAGCTTTCATGAATCCCGCTTTGTGACAAATACGAATTGGAGCCATGATGCAATTTTCCTGAATTCGTGAAACTGTATTGAACTTCCGAACCTTCTATTCGTACCAATTCACTGGAGAAGTTTTGAGCCTTTAATTTTTTTTCAATTCGTTAGCACGAATTCAATGCATTCCTTGGCCATTTCTTTCGAATGCGAATTCGTTTGGACAAATTGGTACATATTGAATTAAATTCAATTGAATATACAAAGAGCTTGAGTGAATCCCGCTTTGTGACAAATACGAATTGGAGCCTACCAAAAATGTTAATTCGTTTCAATTCATTTGAATTAGTTTTTTTTACTGGGTTATGCAAAAAGGTCTCTAGCTTGTATTCACACTTGAGTATGGTGTTAACAACTATCAGGACATCGATTTTGTACAATTTTGAAAATTGTGTGTAAAATATTTATTGTGTTATAATCAAATGTATTACCATACTGAACTATGGCTATTCTCTTAAACAATCTAGTGATAATTTAAATATATCATTTTTATGACGAGTAGTGAACAAAATACTTTAGTTAATCCTATGTCCTTCCTGCAATCTTACAGAAGGATATCTAGTAGTAGTGAAATGACTTAGATAACGTTTATTGGTCGTTTTAGAATTTTTTATAAAATAATTCTGGTCAATCTTGAAAAAATTGTGAATGAAAATGAATAAATTTGTGCCTAAAAAAGCATTTTGTCATTCATAAACTACGTAGCAACGTTTATGAATGACCCTTGTGTTTTATAGTATAATGTTTATTTTTACTTACAGAAATTAAAAATAATGAAAAATACATTTTAAGTGAAAAACTCATTCTTTGATAAGTACAATTTTTTGATTAATTTATGTTTTATAAATGACTGAAAATAAAAAATTGTGTTTAAAATAAACTGCCTTAGATAATTTTTTTAATTATATAGTTCAATGCTAGTAGCTTTTAAAATGTACATATATGTGTGGGTTGTGAAATTTTTAGAGAGTATATGATAGAGGGATTAAGAAAATGTTTTAAATCAAGTTCGCAACTTGACTCTATAAATCAAGCTCTGCAAAGATTTTATAACATTTAAATAAAATATTCTCTATTCTGATTTGGAATTACGTAATTTATATAGCAAATGTTACTATTTTTTAAATTAAAATAAGTAGTTAAACACGTACCAGAATCTTTCATGAATTTACGATCCCGTTTTGTAATTTTGTGCTTTACTGATTTCTCCTTTGACTCAGCTTTTCTTACTTTCTGCTTTTTAACTGGGATAGTGCAATCGTCAGATGAATCATCGCTCTCTAAATTAACTATTAGTTAATAAGGAAATAATAAAGAATCATTTACCTATTACATCATAGGTCCACAAGTTGGGGGATAAAAATATATGTTTGTTTTGTAAAAAAGTTACAATTTTTAAGTTACTAAACGTTATTTCTAAGTTTCTACATAGGATCCGATAAGGAAAAAGTCCTTTAAAGAACACTTGCAGAGACCCATAAGGGATCCCGTGTGAGATATATCATATAGGATTCCACTTAACATAAAAAATTTTAGAAATTACAAATTTGAAAAAGTTTTTGAGTTTTTTTTATTTTTGAAATTTTTAAAATCTTAAAAAAGTAAAAAGAAATAAAAAAATTGAATTTGAAATGTTCGGGTAAAACAATGTTTCTATGAAGAAGCAATTAAGAAAAAATTTGAAAATCATTACTTTGATTTTTCAAATTTTTTATGAAAATAGTGGGATATAATATTGAACGTTTTTACATTAATATACAAAACTAGAAAAATTAATATTTTATTCAATTTTAAAATTAAGGTATAATATTCTCATAAATTTTGTCTACAGGGTAATCTCAAACATATGCTTGTAACAATTAGTTCATCATAACATAATTATAATTTGCAAAAAGTAATTTAAAATACTAGAAAAATTCAGATACTTTTCAAGTCTTATTTGAATTTGGAGTATAAAGAAAACAATTAAAAACTCTTACCAATTACTTGTTTCTTATTTTTTTTATGAGATGACTTCTGAATTTCTGAAGCTGTATAAAAAATTAGTTATATAGTTGAAATTAAAATTTTCCTAATTATGAAAAATATTACAAAAAATATGATTTAGCACCTGAATTAGAATTATCATTATTATTTTTTTGGGAAGATGGAGAGACATTATTTCCTTGTAATTTGGCGCCTTCGTTCATTGACTCATCGCCTTTTATTAAAGATAAAATTCAATAAAGATAAAGTAATTAATAAGTACAAAAAAGACTTTCGTTGTAGAAGGATATAATAATTAATTTCAAGAATTTTGTTTTAAAAATAAATAATTTCATAAGTAAAATTTCTCTCTGTGTAATGAAAGTAATTAAAATAAATAATAAATTGGATCTATAATTAAAATTCATAGTAAAAAACTGATTATTTTGATACCCGTATGTATTTAAATAATTTAATAATATACCAGACTGCGAAATATAACTTTTTGAAGTCGGTTGAGGAGAAAAGAGATGAAAATTATCCTCAGTACCCTTCGTCGAATCATCGCTATCTAAAGTAAAATAAAACAATGCGTAAAACATATAAACAATATAATTAGGTATAATAATTATAGATAAAGCTCTAGAGCACAGGCCACAGTGACAGTTTATCCTACTAATATAGGATATTAGTAGGATTTGTACTGAACTATATATCAATAAGATATAATTAAGAGTTATGAAAAATTCAATAATATTTTAACATATAATAAAAAGCAATACCTTGAAGAACTTCAATTTCTTCTGTATTAACAGAAGTTGCCTTGGAAAGTTTAACTAAATAAAAAATTAAATCAATATTCACAATAATACTTTTCATTACATTGGCACTCAAAAAATTGATGTTCTGATCTTAAGGTGCGACTACCCTGCCACTATCTTATGTTTTTGTGGTCGCAGAATCCGAGTCTAAAGTTTGTTAAACTGCATCACGTTATATTTTTGAAATTAAATTTTGAAATTATGAAAAATTCTGATTTTTAAGTATTACCAAAATTACTTTATGATTTTAGGGTCGATGAAGTTAAATCTAAGTATTTTTAATCTCATCACTTCCGGCTTTTGAAATAACCGTGAAAGAGATCAGAACATATAGTTTTTTGTGTAGCTGTGTTGCGATTAACTACATGCGTTATGAAAATACTATGAAATACCAAATTTAGAAGGATGCCTCCTCAGCAATGGTGAAGGAGCATTGCTTGAAGTATTTTCAAATTCATTGTCGTCGTCTTTCATCAAACCATCCATTTCTACAAAAAATTTTTAGTAAAATAAAACAAACTATAATCAAAATAATTATAATTGTTTCAATTAAACATATATATATAATCACATTCGATCAAATTTTGAATTTAATATGTTAATTTTAATCTGTATCGTTATCAACACCTAACTTTTACGTGAATTGCTTATAAAAAATGGTCACACTTTAACAATTTAATACCCAGAACATTACAGAATCTACATAAATTTAATAAAACGATTTTACTGTCAACTAAGTTCTTCAGAACACTTTAGGAACCTGTTAAGTCAAAAACCTTCCATAATAATTAGGACAAGTATTGATGTCACAGCTAAACTTAAAATTCATACCTTCTTCTGTGCGAGAAACTTGCTTTTCCAAAGTAGTTGGATTACCACGGTGTAAAACTACTTAAACGATTACATGATTATTAATCAGGTTTAGGGTAGTTGCACCAGTAAAAGAATTAACATTAGTAAAAGAACAAATTGTTAATTTATCATAATGTTCAACAAATTACAATTTTTGGAATTGTTAAAAAATACTTTTGGATCCCAATTTGTTATAAATTTAGTTTATGATAAAACATTAGATTCAAAATGAAAATAAGTTTGAAGAATAATTTTTATATTTTTTAATCAGTTATAGAATATCTGTAACATGCGTCCTTTCAAATGTTCTTTCACTAGTGCCACTACCGCATAAAGACTTTGTATAGAAATTTATTATGTAAAAACCAATACAGTACCGGACCGAGGGTTATGAACTTGTGCCTCTGTCTGAATAGTGTTGATCAAATTTCTGCGTGTAATATCAGAATCGTTCATGGAATCATCGCTTTCTATAATAGTAATTTATTAGAACGAAATCAAAGAATATTTAAAAAGAAAAAATATATTGTTTTAACTTGAATGAAGCAATATATTACCAGATTGTGGCTGAAGAATTTGAGTTAACGCTGGACGCATATATTTTGTGGGATCATAGTCACCATCATGCATTGAATCATCACTTTCTAATTGCATTTTAATTGAGTAATTAAAACTTTCAAATCATTCAACATTTTTTGTGAGAACTACATGATTTAATTCACAATATATTGAAAAAAATATGATGCAATTTTCAGAGATTCATAATTTCTACTTTGAAAGGCTTATTAAGTTTTTTCATTTTAAGGTTGGTAATAGTTTGTATCTGAGCTTAATTTTTGTCACAAAACTATACTCCCAAAATATTTTTTACCCATATAGCACGTAACCTTGCAGAAATCTTCCGATAAAGTAACCTTACAATTTTAGCAAGCTTTTTTCGCAAGCAATCCGGATGAAAAATTATAAATATCGATGGAAAAAATTTTTTATTTAAATAATCTGGCTGAATTAGAAAATTTTTAGTCTTCATTTTGAATTTTTTCGTCCAAAACGAAAAGCAACAATTGATTAAACAATTAACTCAAAATAAAATGATAAGATAATGCGCTTGATAGATTGAGAATGGTCCAAATGTGATTCTTAAATTTTAGTAGCTCGTCTTTATAAGAGGTGGTAGTGTCTACCCTTTAGGATGGGGCTTTCTATTAGCAAAGTTGCTAATATACACTGTAAAAATTTTAGGAAGTTGACGGTCACCGGTGTTGGCTGTAAAAGTTTTCGAGTTAACTATCAACTCCCAAAAAGAGTTAGTTTAATAACTCCTTACTTTTACCAAGAGTGAAAAACAGGGTGTTGAGCATCATCTCCCACGCGAGTTATTTTATCATTGTTTAGTTTCTACACCTTGATGAGTTATCATAGTTATGTAAAGTTTTAACTCCCTTCATCAAATTTCCTTCATCACTGTTACTCTCTATTGGGTGCGACTTATGTAGAAAAGCGATAAAGAAATAGGATTTTTTTAGAGAATTCGTTAAGTACATATTACATATTTCCTGAAACAAAAATTCTCCGGACTATAAACTTCGGAAATACATATACCACGGCCCACAGGAAGACGTGCATTAGCTCTAAAATATGGATTTGACAAAAAACCTTTTAGATGCTAAGCCTACATAACTTGGTAAAGATTTCCCACTGTAATTAAGCCTCTCTACTTACTACACATTAACATTTTTTCGTGCAACGCAAAGTGTTAACGATAATATATTTCATGATAATTAAACGAAAAATCATTGTTCAAGAAAAATTTCAAAATTTATTGAAAAATTAAGAATTAGAGAAAAATTTGATATTTTTCCGAAAAGTTTAATATTCATTAAAGAATTTTCAGGTGTTTTTGCTATGGCTTTAAAATAATTGTTCTTGACGCCGCGACTGAATATCTCAGTCACTATGTGCTGAAGAATTAAACTGTCAAGGAGAACGAAGCGTAAACTATAGATATACAGCGCCTGTTTGCGAGTTTGAGTACTCACGCAGGCAAATTTTTTTAAGTTCATATTTTTCGATTCATTAACCAGTTTTGTAATTCTTCATGAAACTTCAATAAGTTGTCCATAAATTAACTACAGATCTTCTCGAAAAGCTTAAAATAATATTTCAACCTACGGTTTTTCCCATATCCCCAATTCTTAAATAAGTTTTGTAAGTATTCTTGAACAAAGAATAAATTTTCAACTTAACTATTGTCCCTTATGATAATAATACTTTTAAATCTTTCAATATTACCAGAATCGGGAGAAAGCTTTCGTGACTTTTTTTGCAAATCAGAATGAATAGCCTTCTCGACAATTTTGTTATTGTCTGCCATGAAATCAGTAACTATTAAATCGACACCATCATCTGAGCTTATTATTTCCTTCCTATTCAAAGAAGTACTTGGCACATTCTGCGAAGCTGTTTACAGATATAGAAAATGGAAAAAAATTTGTTGAACAATAATTTTCTAAAGAAAAAGAAAAAATTGATATTTACACTGTAAATAAAAGGTTGTGAATTAGAGCTGATTTTCGGTATTAAAATAGAACCAAATCACGATTTAGTATCCAAAATTGGTACTAAATTAGTACCTTTCTTTTTACATTGAAAAAAATTGCTGCTTTTGTAACTTTAAATAATTATAGGTTGAACAATAAGGATACAAAACAAAAATCTAGATTCTATAATTGGTACGTCAGATAGTGAATACATTTTTTTCTCATAATTACTCTGAACTTAGAAGTTTAGAGGAATCATGATAAAGAAATGTAACAGAATCCTTGTTTGACTCACTGCAAAATGTAGAATTACATTTAGTAATTTTCTGCTTCAGCAGAAAAAGGACAGTTTCAATATCATCTAAAAATAATGTATAATAGCCCTTTATTTTCGCGTGATGAAATGAAGCACTTTCCTAAACCTCACATTTTTAAACCATATTACACTGCAAAAAATAATAAGCAGAATGTGTTTTTTACTTAGGCAATTTTTGCCTAAGAATAAAAGCAATACACGCAAAGCAATTGTTTCTTTTAAACAAGGCAATTTTTGACTCAGTTCCTAAGATTGAAATCACAAGGCAAATTTTTATTTGAATATTTAGAGAATACGATATGAAATAATAATAAATTTTTTTATTTAAATATTTATAACTTATTCAATGAAGCTCGAAAATGAAAAAGCTCGATCGAATATTTTCGAGCTTCTCGTAAAGTATAAAAGCTAAAATAATTTCGACCTCTTGAATTTTTTGAGTGCTCAAATATTTTCGAGTACTCGAAAATTTCTAATGCTCGAGACATCGAGCCCGGCTCGAGCTCCGTCATACTATTCGAGCTTTTTGCACACCTTTATATATATATATATATATATATAATATAATTTTACTATCGTGAATGTAATAATATTTCTTTCTAGTTTATTATTTAAAAATTAAAATTTTTTATTAATATTATATTTGCAATTTGAGTAGAAAGGAACTTTTATTTTTAATTAATATTTTATTTCAATTAATAAAAAAATTTTATTGAAAAAGTGAATTTAGTACCTTTAAATACTTCAACAAAATTTTCTAGATTCCATTTCTGTAGTATTTTCTTACTTTGATATATTCATTGATTTAATTAATAATAAAATCCCAGCTGAAAAAAATTGTTTGGATTTTCCCATGGACTTTTCAGGTAGAAATCCATATGGAGATTTGAAACTATCCACATGAAATCCGCATGGATTGCCATGTGGATTTCCGCATGGATTTTTTTATATTTTTAATAAACACAAAATATGAACGAAAACCTCTTTAAAAATGCAGAAAGCAGTGAGTGAGACCCCTTTGGGGTCTCAGAATTTTTTTGATGTTTATTTCTGAAAATATTTAAAAATTGAAAAAATAGAAAATTTCCATGTGGATTTCCATGTGAATTATTTCAAATCTCCGCATGGATTTCTGCGTAAATTTCCATGTGGAAAATCCAGACGGACTTTTTCAGTTGGGATTCGATTTGACATATGTAAACAATTTACTTGATAAATGACAAGAATTTGTTACCTTATTAACTAAAGCCAAATTTAACATTTTTAAAAGAAACAATTATATTGCGTGTATTGCTTTTGTACTTAGGCAAAAATTGCCCATGTAAAAAGCACATTCTGTCTATTATTTCTTTCAGTGTAAAAAATTCAAGGCTCAACTTGTGATCAGAAAAGATGAAACTTTGAGTGATTTTGATGTGTATCAAATTAAGTCGAATTCTTACATAATTTAAATGCAAGTTTTAGCTTCATAAAAAAAATTTAATCTTAACATTTATTTTTCAAAATTAAGTCGGTGCTGATAACTAAGTGTCAGTTTCAGATAGATAGATTTGATATTTTAAAATTTTTAAAATCTTAATTTAAATTCTTTTTTATCATAGAAGAAAATAGAATTTAATTTTTCAAAGATTCAACAAATTTTCTTTAACTTACTTCCAGAAAATGTCAATTTTCTTTTAGAGCTCAATCCCTGTGTCGAATTTAAATTACCTTGCAACAATTTGATCAAATTCTGAGCTTCTTCTAACTTTTGTTTTAAATCAATCATTTCCAAGTTTTCAGCATTTTTGTCTTTTGATTCTAATAGAGTTGAATGGGACAAATAAGTTGCCTTTTTAGAGTCAAATATGCTTTGTTCTAGACTTTTTTGAGATTTCGCTACCAAGGTTTTTTTGTCCTGTATTTTTTTATAAACTTTATAAACTTTAAAACAATAATTTTACAAAAAACTAATACTAATGTTTGTTCTTTGTGCTTTTATATAGGGGAGACTGGGGCAAAAGGTTAAATTTTGTATAAATGATTTTTTTAGACAATATAATCCGCCTAGATGCAAATATTTATATATCAATATTGTAGGGCAACTTGTCCCCTACAACTTTCAATAAAAAAGTTTCTGGTTTTTTTGCATAAAATACATGATTTGTCCTGTCTTGACAATTTTGTTTTTTTTATCTTTTCGCCCCATGCTGGGGCAAAATGTTAAATTCTATTTTTAGCCTACTAAAACTATTTTCTGATAGGTGTTAAGTAGTAGTGTTTTACTTACGTTACAGTATACGTAAACAAGTAATTTAGTTAATAAAAGATCTGTGTTTATTTAACAAAAGCTTTAGAACAGTTATAAAGTTAAAAAAATAAAATTTCAAAAAAAAAAATTTTGGTTTATTTTACGTGAAAGGTTTTGTTTTTTGACAGAGTACTTACCTAATGCCAAATAAATAATTTTGAAACAAATAAACCCAAAAATGCGAAAAATGTAGGGGAGTATAGTCGAGGTTGGACCACTGTCTAGGTAGGCCATTCGCGTTTTTTTGTCAAGTTCACTAGCGCCACCTACGCGCATGCTTGTCGAAGCTTGTCTTAGTAAAACCTAACTTTTTGTTCAATTACATTTTCGGAGAATCGAAAATTGTGTTTTCTGTGACGTCGGTACAAAAAAAGCTCAAAAAAAGTTTTGTGCATCATGTGGAAAATCATTAATAAAAGATAAAAAAAATTGAATCGTCAAGGCAAGCATACAGAAGTTTTGTGGGACTCATTGTTGAAAGAAAATCAAAGTGAAAAATTGAATCCCGAAACGTATTTCTTTTTGGTTACAATAATTCGGTAATGTTACTTTCTGTCAAAGTCGGCCACTTTGTGTTTAAAATGCGCAAAGATGAGGACGAGCTACTTCATTTGCAAAAACTGCAATTCTGTATAACTCATAATATAATTGATCATCTTATTAATATTTTTATTTAATTTTATTAATATTTTAGTGCAAAATTTTTTTTTATTTATATTTATTTTTTAAATTGTTTATTTTTATTATTTTGTTATTTCATTAAGTTACAAACTGTAAACAATAAAGAATCAATTTTCCGTAACTCCAAACATGTTATTATATTTTTTAACGATTAATGCCCTTTGAATTTTAAACATGGCCGACCTTGACTGTAAGGACCAACCTGGACTACAAGTTTTTTTTTAAAATCTTTATAACTTTTTCATTTTAAAACCAATACATTTACTTTGTACAGAAAAGATGTTCCTATTAAACAGGACTTTCCAACAATATACTTAAATTGTCAAAATTCATTTTTAAGAAAAATTTATAAACAAAAGTCAAAAAGTGGGCCGACCTCGACTATGTTCCCCTATAAAATATTTTTAACAACATGTAAAAATACATTTAACTTTTCGCCCCAGGGTGCGTTTTTGGCTTTAACAACAAATATAAAAAATCTGACTAAAAATATTTAGCAAATACCTTTAGGTATCTCTTCAGGGGACCCAAATAAGGACCTAAATAATTGCGATGAGAATAAATTAGAAAAATATACTTAAAAGTTTATATTTTGTTTTACGAAAAAATTTTCAAAAGTAGGGGGAAAACAAATTTTAAATATGGACACCACAAAAATGAACAGAATGTCACATAACTCCTGACATTTATTTAGAGTGATAACACTCTTCTATAATTAAAATTGCAATGCTCTAACTATTTCCGTTCAAAAGATAATGAATTTGAACTGTTTTGCCAGTTTAACCTTTCGCCCCAGTCTCTCCTAATTATGATTAAATAAAACCAAGAGATAATACATATAAAAGTAGAGCGTGGACTTATATGTTTCAAATAGATAGAAGAAACTGCAAGTTTAATAACTGCTTTTGGTAGTCAGTTTAGTCTATATCAAAATGATATTTTAGGTAATTCAGAAAATATATTAAACTCTGAAATGTGGTTGTAAATGTATTTTCAGTGATAAAGTAGACGTAGGCGAGATTACTATTTAACTTTTATTTTCGCAACGTGCCTTATTTAACACGACACAATCTCCAAAGCGCTGTTTGTGTCGTGTCTTGACACTTTATATAAACGTATCGTGTCGTGTCCATGTAAGAAAAAGTTTTTGGAGTGAAAATGATATTAGAGTAATTAGATATAAAAATGGATAAGGTGGAGAAGAGTAACAAAAAATAAAAATATTGTAATCGTAGTGAAAAACCTTTTCCTGCTGTTTTTTCCTTGCTTGTACGCTTTCGACAAATTCTGAATCAGATGATACATTTAAGTTAATAGAATTATTAAGAGCAGGGATTTTCATTCGAATATTGTTTTCCTCTTGAAACTTAATTTTTTCTTCAATCTGCTGACGAGTTTCTTTGAAAAAATGAAAATTTATATACTATACATATGAGTCAATGCATAGCACAAATTATATAATTTTAATAAATTTTTCATAAGTAATAAAACTACTTCGGCAAGCTTACGATGTGAACATGCTGTTTTACATTGTAGAGTAGAACGGGGCGAGGCAGCCAAGACGGCACATTTTAGTTTAAAAATTAAAAAATTTTACAACCGTTTTCCTAAAGGACCACGTTTTTGGCATATTTACAAAAACGTGGGGTGAGACGGCCAACTGTTTTACTAGTGAATTAACATAACTTAAAGTTAAAGTTAGTGAAATCTAACAAAGTAGTTGTCCTGAATTTACTTTTTTTTGTTCAAAAAAATTTACATTTGAATATTATTATAATAATAGGGTAATGTCACCTTGAGTGGACCGCCTGAGCTTTTAAGTTATCTGACAGCGGAAACGTGAAATAAATAGTGCGAATAGCAGCACCGCACCTAGAAACCGTAAGAAATTAAGTTCCGCGATAATCATATACGTTATCGTTTGATGTAACAAATTTTTAAGAACACAAACCAAAAAAGAAGTCGCTCTTACAATGAGCAAAGTGATTCGGAAGTGTAAAAGTAGTGTAAGATTTAAGTTTTAAAAGGTAACTTATTTTTTCCCTACTACTTTGAACATTGAAATTGATTGTCTTATTTTAATTAAGTGATTATTTTGACTCAAGAAAAAATTGTGGTGGCTGCCATAAAAAGTTGCATGTCACCATGAGTGGACCACTGTTTATAAACATGAGTGGACTGCCTGTTTTTTATATTTTTAATGTCAGTTTACCATTTTTATGGATATAAATTGACAATAAATTGTTTTGAAACTATGTTTTATGTTCTTTATTAATTTTTTTGAGATATTGATATGATATGTGCCAAAATTATTAAAAATGGTTTCACTTATAACAACTTTTACAATTTTTTAGGAGTGGTCCACTCAGGGTTACACTTGTCTAGGGATCCAAACTAAAGCTTAGAATAGAAACCTCCGATTAATTTGCTTTCATAAAGAATTTTTTAGAAAAAAAGCTTAGGCGGTCCACTCAAGGTGACATTACCCTAACATTAATTAAATTTAATTTCACTTCTTAAGGAAAGCGTTGGCTATCTAACCCCAAGAGTAGGTACTTTTTTCAAGAAAACCTTCACAAAACCCGTAATACTAAAAATATCGCAATTTCATTTACACCATCGTCTTCAGCACTAAATTCTGCATTAAAAAACACTTACATGAATTTTATTCGTGTAACTAAAATTAACTAAAATCACAAAAATAACTCTTAAAAAAGTTACATCCAAAATTCTGTTTTTCATAAATGATAGTGCCACTGCTAAACTGCTGCAGCAATAACGCCTATCTTTTAGCATCTAAAGTAAACGACCATAAGCACTCTAAATTATCAATGGCTCACTGTTTGAAAAAGTTATGCAGAAATAAGAAGCAATTGGCTGCTTCACCCCGTACTACTCTAAGCATCAAATAAATACAAAAGAAAATTATTAAAATTTAGGATGTAAACTAAACGGTTATTACATTCTTGTTCATTTTTTGACTTTCCAGAATTTTGAACTACAAAATACATCTTATTTCTATTTCAAAGTAGAATTAATTCTAAAAGAAAATTTTGGAAATTTACACAAAAATTCATCAGAAAAACCTTTTTTTTCTTTTTTCATGTTTTATAAAATGTTACTAAATAATTGCTTTTTTTCTCTTTTTATTCCGATATACCTGGATAACTATTTTGATATCGAATACTAAACTATAGAAAATGAATCACGCAGGGGAAGAGGGGATCTAAAATACCTAAAATATCTATCACATAATATATGAATGACCCCAGTAATAAAAAAGAGTTAGGACTTGTTAGATTATAAAATTTTTAATTTTTTATAAATTTATTGAAATTTCCCTGATTTTGAATGAAATTTAATAACTTATCCCTGACTTTTCCATGAGTTCTTTGACCGCTGGACATCCTGATTATTAAGAAAGTTGAGTGTTATTTAGAACTATTCTGATAAAAATATATTCTGAATTTCCATTAACCCTCTGCCTACGCTACCTTATCCCTACTCTAGCGCTTTTGAATATAATTCCCATAGTCCCTATCAGGCAATCGAATTGTCGTTTTCTATCGATAACGGTCACTTGTGTAAGTAGAGGGTTGAAAATCAAGTTATAAAAACTAATTGCTTCGTAAATATTTCCAGAATGACTAGGAATAATATTTATTAAATCTTGTTAATCATACATTTAGGCCTCGGATCGACTGAAAGGCACAAAAAAGGTGCTTTGTCTGTTAAAAATAGGAAAAAGTCGTTTATTTAATTCAGTGTTGTCACAAAGATTTTAATTAGAATTTCCCAGACTTTCACTGATTTTTGAATTCAATTATTCAAAACATGAATAATTTTGTTAAATCAATATTAAGATAATTCTTTTTTTATTTCAATCAGCAACGAGCGGTATGACCCTTACAAGAATTTAATTCTTGTTTTACGAGTCATATCAGTTGAAGAGTCGTTTATCCCTCGTTAGAATTTGGCTCTTTATTCGACATGTTCCATAAAATAAGAAACATCGATGGTTTTCTTACCAATGGTAAATTCACTTATTATTTGCTAACATCAAATCGCTTTATTTTCCTCTACGCCCAACAGGTTATGGGCCCAGGAACCGGGAACTATTCGCGACCGAGTAAATAGTACCAGTGTTTCGTGATTTTTAACTATTTTCGTTGAACCGCAAAGTCCGTGAACGCATAGCCTAAAAAAATGGCGCACTGCTCGAACACGACGCGACTCGAAATGTTATCACGGGATAACTACGATACGTGGCAAATCCAAGCCGAAGCCCTTTTCACCAGAAGCGACACCTGGACTTACGTATCGGGTGAAACCAAGGAACCTGAAGTAACCGGAGATGGCGAGGCATTGCGCATGTCCCAAATCGCGAATAAAGCGTGGACTCAAGCCGATCGGAAGGCGAGAGCGGAGTTGATTCTTTGTATAAGTCCTTCAGAACTTAAGCAAATAAAAGGGTGCATAACATCTAATGCGGTATGGACGAAGCTAAAATCAATCTATGCATCAAAAGGCCCTGCTTGTAAAGCAACCTTATTAAAATGTTTAATTTTACACAAAATGCAAGATGGCGATGATGTGAAACAACATTTGTCAGAATTTTTCGACGCAGTCGACAAATTGCAATCGAAGGAAGTCGACATCAGCGGTGATCTCTTATCAGTTCTACTCTTATACAGGCTCCCTAGTAAATTCGAAAATTTTGCTGTGCCATCGAGACACGAGATTCTCTACCTGATCCGGAAACCTTGAAAATCAAGATAGTTGAAGAATACACCGCCAGGATGCAAAATTGTGAAACGACGGACAGTGGTGCCGCGATGTTTGTGAAAAACAAATACAAATTTCCAAAGAAATCGAAATTCCGTAATCGCGAAAACGCAGTCGAAAATCGTGACAACGAAGGTGAATCAAATTCGTTTAAACCGAGACCGAAATTTAAGCGTAGTTTTTGTAATAAAAAAGGACATAAAGTATCCGAATGTTTTCTCAAAAGAAAACAAAATTAAACTGCACTGAGAGAAGTCCGGGAACTAATACGTCCCGTGCGAGCCTTGAGTTGTACTTTTGAATGTTTTTATGTGAACCCTCGAATCGGGATGTCTCAAGCCCCGATGCGAAACGTGGAACGTCCTGAAGCGAGATTACGCAGAACTTTCAGTTTTTGCCACCAGTTGCTTTCTCACATGCGAGAACAATGTTTGACTGGATTGGGGAGTCTCAGCACCCGATTCGGAACAACTCAAACACGACAAGCAGAGTAGCTCATAGCGACGTCTAGCGGGAACTATTACGTCTCGGTCTTCTCTCAGTGTGCTAATAATTGTGAAACGACTCACTGTTTTCTCGTCGAAAACGAAGTTAATTCTTCTGTTGATCTTTGGTGCATCGATAGTGGGTGCACTGCACATCTTTGCAACGACAAAAGTGCTTTAGTGAACGTAACTACTAAAACATGTGATTTAAAACTAGCCAGCAAAAATACGACCGAAGTAAAAGCTAAAGGCGACGTTTTATTTGAAATTTCAAACGATGCAAATACGAAAGTGATGTTAAAAGACACACTTTACGTACCGTACTTAAGGACAAATTTGATTTCAGTCGCTAAAATAGTAGAGAACGGAAATGAAGTGACATTTAATAAAAAGTGCGCGATCGTCAAGAACAACACCGGTCAGACTCTTCTCACAGCTGATCGAGTCGGTGACTTATTTTTCCTCTGTGGAAATAATAAAATTTCTTGTGCGATATCTGAGACCGATAAAATCAAAAGTGACTTCGAAATCTGTCACTCTCGACTCGGACACTTAAATTCAAAATACATGACTAATATACTTAAAAGTGAATGCGTTGACGGTTTAATATTCGACATACCAGCAAATTCGAGCAAGTGCAATAAGTGTTTATCTGGAAAACTGTCTAGTGTTCCTTTCAGTGATAGTGAAAATTCGTCGTCAGAATTATTGGAATTGATTCACATGGACATTTGTTGACCAGTGAGAATTGATTCTATTGGTAATGCGCGATATTTCATAACGTTCATCGACGATTATAGCAGATGGTGCAGTGTTTATTTCTTAAAAAATAAAAGTGAAGCTGTCAATATGTTCATCGAGTATAAAAAGTTCGTGGAAAATCAAACCGGGAAACGGATCAAAGCCATCCAAAGTGACAGCGGTCGCGAGTTTGAAAATCTAAAGATGAACGATTTTTTGAAAAACGAAGGATTTCACCATCGACTGACAGTTCCGTATACGCCACAACAAAACGGCGTAGCTGAACGGAAAAACAGAACTCTGGTCGAAGCTGCACGTTGCCTTATGATCGAATCAGGTGTACCATACAGTTTTTGGGCAGAAGCCATCAATGCTGCAAATCACGTCAAAAAAAGATGTCCAAACAAAGGAATCACTAAAGGGACTCCATATGAAATATGGACCAGAAAACGCCCAAACATCTCGTATTTTCGAATTTTCAGAAATAAAGTATTTTTCTTCGACAAGACACCGAACAAAGGAAAGTTCGATCCACGTGGCATCGAGGGAATTTTCATGGGTTACTCCGATCAGTCAAAAGCTTATCGCATCTGGTCTCCTAAAAGCAGAAAAATAATCCTATCCAGAGATGTCAAATTACGGAATTCACAACATCCGATTCATTGTTTGAAGATTTTTATCCAAAAGACTTCGATAACACTATTGTCAAGGAGAAAAGGATTACAAAAATCGAAAAACCCAAATAATTCGAGATAAATCTCAATCCACCGAATTCAATGGACAATCATCAACCTCCAATTCTTGAACTTCCAGGAGAAATAGACACCGAATCATCTTTAAACGACAAACCATCTTTCATTAGATTTCCTAAGACAAACAAGCACAGACTCTTCATTTGGAAGTGAACCTCCGTTTTTAGGATTTGACGACGCTGTAAATACCATATTGTGATGAAATTCGGACCCTGATCATAAACGATACTTGGAAGTTGGTAGAGAAGCCAGTTGACGAAAAGA